GCAACATCACTGGAGTGCCCAAAAGCACAAGGTGTGCAATACTCAGAGACATGGCCAAGGTAAGAAAGGCTGAAAGACGACCACCACTGAACAAGACACACAAGCTGAAACGTCAAGACTGGGCCAAGAAATATCTCAAGACTGATTTTCTAAGGTTTTATGGACTGATGAAATGAGAGTGAGTCTTGATGGGCCAGATGGATGGGCCCGTGGCTGGATTGGTAAAGGGCAGAGAGCTCCAGTCCGACTCAGACGCCAGCAAGGTGGAGGTGGAGTACTGGTTTGGGCTGGTATCATCAAAGATGAGCTTGTGGGGCCTTTTCGGGTTGAGGATGGAGTCAAGCTCAACTCCCAGTCCTACTGCCAGTTCCTGGAAGGCACCTTCTTCAAGCAGTGGTACAGGAAGAAGTCTGCATCCTTCAAGAAAAACATGATTTTCATGCAGGACAATGCTCCATCACACGCGTCCAAGTACTCCACAGCGTGGCTGGCAAGAAAGGGTATAAAAGAAGGAAATCTAATGACATGGCCTCCTTGTTCACCTGATCTGAACCCCATTGAGAACCTGTGGTCCATCATCAAATGTGAGATTTACAAGGAGGGAAAACAGTACACCTCTCTGAACAGTGTCTGGGAGGCTGTGGTTGCTGCTGCACGCAATGTTGATGGTGAACAGATCAAAACACTGACAGAATCCATGGATGGCAGGCTTTTGAGTGTCCTTGCAAAGAAAGGTGGCTATATTGGTCACTGATTTGTTTTTGTTTTGTTTTTGAATGTCAGAAATGTATATTTGTGAATGTTGAGATGTTATATTGGTTTCACTGGTAATAATAAATAATTGAAATGGGTATATATTTGTTTTTTGTTAAGTTGCCTAATAATTATGCACAGTAATAGTCACCTGCACACACAGATATCCCCCTAACATAGCTATAACTAAAAACAAACTAAAAACTACTTCCAAAAATATTCAGCTTTGATATTAATGAGTTTTTTGGGTTCATTGAGAACATGGTTGTTGTTCAATAATAAAATTAATCCTCAAAAATACAACTTGCCTAATAATTCTGCACTCCCTGTAGAGCCTGTATGTTCCTGATCTAGAACTTTTTGTACATTTACTTAGTGACCTTACCGGTCAGTGCTTCTTAACTTGGAAGAAGCACTGCTGTTGTAAACGCTGATGAAGTGTGTGTGTTTATGTTAAAGTTACCTACCGGTACTTTAAAATGCAGTTGTTCTTGTTGTAGTAAAATCCATAAAGCTGAGAACTATATACTATCTTAAAAATTATTATTATAATTTTTTTTTATTTATCTTGGTTGCATTGGCGACGAAAATGACCGTAAAACTCAAACCTTTTGCATACTCCAAAGTATTAACTTTCCAGTTCCATTAATGATATTTATAGAAATATGACACATTAATATTTTGTGATGGCAACCAAAAAATTGAAGTTACCATATATATGTCTTCCTTTAAAAACCTTTTTATGCAACTCTCTATTACCCAGCCATAAAGGTTTTTCCAATTATATTGTTGCCTGCTTAGCCAAGTCCTTTGCAATGGATTGACATTGAAGATGCCTTCTTTTCGTTTTAAAGCATTTATCACACAGACAGATCCAGAAGAAATATTAGCTAAGGGCAACATTTCAAGAAACTGGGCAGATGTAATTGTACATTGCTTAGTGATGCAAAAGGTGATCATGCTAAATGTTTGCAGATCTTGTGTGATGCATGCACGTGGTTATATTGCAGATCTTGTGTGATGCCTGCATGCACGTGGTTTTATTTGTATTTAAAATTTGTATTAAATTTTTATTTGGGACAAAGGACTTAAAGAGTGGTATAAAATGCATATAATGTTGAAAATTTTTAGAAACCAATAAAACGGAAAGAAATATGTGGATTTATGATATTCCAAATAATAATGATCTTGCATTTAGCACATAATGCTTGTAAGTATTTTTAAGTAGAAAATTAATGACAAAATCAGTTGTATTGTAAATTAATGTAAAATGCATTTATTTAAGAAAACATAAATTGAATATATGGTTATTAGTTTGCAGCATAGCCGACAACATCCCAGCCTAGGTAGATTAACGTGATATGTTGCTTTGCTGTCTTTCATAGTTAAGGTTAATTCTTGAAGTGAAAAAAGAACGCAAAGTATGAAAGAAATAGATTAGCAAGTAACCAACCAAACGCACATTTAAATACCATAATTATTATTTTATCTGTTACACTTAGTATGGTAAGTTTTTTGTGTTTATGTTGTCTTTTCTTTGTCTCATGAATTTAAATATATTGGTATTATTTTTTTTTCTCCCCTTACCTCTCGCTATCTAAACTGTCAAGTAAATAGCAATAGCCGTATATATACTGTAATATTGTAATAATGATAATTGATTGAGGGCTATACCTGTATGTTGACTAGGAATATGTTATATAGAATGAATAAGAAACAGGAGGGGTGGGAAGGAGGAGACAAGAGAGGGGAACAGATATAATATTCATGAAGACAATTATATCAAAGCCTTAAACAAAGAGGCAAACTTTTTTTAGGCTGGTATTGTCTAAAAAAAAAAGAAAAAAAAAAAGAAAACCGGTCTTTAACGCAATTATCTCCCAGGCCCAGAGATTCCTGGGAGAGGCTTGTGGTGAAGACCCCCTGCTGGGATCTGTGTATAAAAAGGCTATGTTTGAATGCATTAAACCCGTTGTACTCCCAGAACTATGTGTTGTCTAGTTACTGGGAGGGGGAAGAGCTAGTCCCCTATCCTGCTCCAGGAGGACCCTAGCCAAGTCACGGCGACTTGGGCTGAAGCGCTGAGGTTTTCCCCTGTTCCAACTAGGAATCGATCCTTGGCACAGGTACAGGGAGCTCCGCTTCAAGTGGAGGCAGCGGTGGGATGGCTTCCTAGCCTCGAGGGAAACATCAAGAACCCCCCTTGGGACTCCAGCACATGATCTGGAGAGGAACTAACTTTCGACAGAGCTGAACAAACATAGCACCCAGCTACACTGATGCAGAGTTTGACAATGAGCTGAAGGGGCTGCTAACTTTCTATGGACCCAACCTCTCTGAGAAAAGCATACAGAATATGAGGAACATAGTGGCCGGGTACCTGCAGTGCAAAGCAGAGCTGGCAAGAGAGTTGGCACGGTGGGGGATAACCCCACACCAGTTGCAGTGTGCGTCCCAGGGAAAGGAGCGTGTCGTCCTCCATCCCCTGCGGCAGTGTGGGGTCCAGGGAGAAGAGGCAACCGGTCTCACTCCCCAGCGGCAGAGTATGTTCCAGGAAGAGTGGCGACTGGGGCTGAAGCGCTGAGGTTTTCCCCTGTTCCAACTAGGAAGCGTTCCTTGGCGGAGGTACCCAGCCAGGGTACAGGGAGCTCCACTACACCAGTCTTCTAGCAGGGTACAGGGAGCTCCACTACACCAGTCTTCTCGAATCTTTTAGATTTTGGGGTTGTCTTTGATCAAACTTTCCAATGCTCACATCAATGGAGAGATCTCATTTTGCTGTTGAGGGTACAATCTCCATTAAAGAAAAATACATGGATATTCCATTGAAGAAATACGGGGAATTTGTCCCCGATGTTGTATTACGATTCCTTAGATGTAAATAAATTTCTCTAACAACAAATAAAGAAGCTACCTTCAACTACCTCTGATTGTGCTATAGTGCTGTTGGCTTGGCCACATGCTCTAAATGCTGTACATGCCATTTTGAGACACAGATAAAAGTCCTAGTATAGTATATTCAAATAAAAACAAAAAATAACTAGAGAAAATCATCATGAGGAACCATAATTCTTTGCCACTATTCTCAGACCTATATGATCAAATAAAGAGAACTATAATCTTCATTAAGCTGGACCAGTTTAGAACTTGTAACCGCATATAAGAAAAGGTAAAATTTAAAAAAACATTCAAAGTGGGAATGCCTGTTGTTGACTTTAGAGTATGTAATGTTTGCAGGTTTTTGTTATGTGTTCAGAGACATACTTTGTTTCTGATGTAATTACGTACTTTGACAACAGCCACACTATAGAACATCATTAAACACAGGTTCTAGTTGTATTACAAAGCACTGAGAGAGAATTTATTCGAGAGTTTAAAAAAAAATCAAACACTCCTCCTTTACTACAGTAGTTTATCTCCTAAACGGCGGTTTAAATGGACACATCTAAGTGGTTGCCCATCATACACTATCCCTAAGTATATCCATAAGTATATAAAGTGTATTCTGTGTTTTCTTAGTTTTGCAAAATATAGGTGATTTATAAGGAATTATACACGTATGTCACTAACTTAACCATATAAGAGAGCAAATCCTAAGCACATGTCCCCCAAAATCTAAAGGGCCTTTCAGTCTTAAAGAAGGTATTTACTGCTGTTCTCGTGTTTAAATAATTAAATCTTGAATAGCCCTTTATAGTTGGTGTTGAAGCCTTAGGACTGGAGCATTATAACATGACAGTGTCACTAACTTTTCACATCATTTGACTTTCTTCTCAAAACAGTTCCCAAGCGAAGAACAAAAATTGTGTTAACAAGGAATTGTTAGCATATAAAATGGGATTTGAAAGGATGGCAGTACCTCCTAAGGATCCCCTCAATGTAGTTTCTATTTTCACAACCTTCACTATCTATTTTATAGATCTGACCCCAAGAACTAAAAGATTTATGACTTGCATAACACACTACCAAAGAGTGCATTTTACAGCTATTCATCCAAAAAAAAGTAATTTTTTTTGTCATTTGTCCTGCTAGCCCTCATTTACCTTGACCAGTGGTTCCCAATATTTTTTCACTTGTGTACCCCTTGGCAGCCCATTTCCAAACATTTTATGGAAATACGTTTGTAATGTATATCGTTGCTGTTATTAAAATGTATACATTTTTTTTCTGCCCCATCTGCCCTTTTTCTCTGCCCTAGGCTTCCATGCTCTTCCTCTGTCCCAGGCTCCCCCTGCTTCTCCTCTGCCCCAGATGTGTGTGTGTGTGTGTGTGTGTGTGTGTGTGTGTATATATATATATATATATATATATATATATATATATATATATATATATATATATATTGCCGATACACACATGCTGACACACATGCAGATACACAGACACACACTGACACATATGCAGATACACATACACACAGATGCAAACAATGACAGACACACACAGATACAGACATACAGATACCAACACTAATGCACGTACAGATACAGACACACAGATACAAACACTGACACACATGCAGATACATATACACACAGATGCAAACAATGACAGACACACACAGATACAGACATAGATATACAAATACTGATACACATACATATACAGGCATACAGATACCAACACTAATACACATACAGACACACAGATACAAATACTGACACACATGCAGATACACAGACACACAGATTCAACTAATGACACAGATACAGATATACAGATACATACACTGACACACATACAGATATACTAACACACATACAGACACATATGCAGATGCACAGACACACAAATACATACACTGACTTACATATAGTTACACAAAACCCCACACAGACACACAGATACAAACACTGACACACATGCAGAAAAAGTAACACATAGAAACAAAAAATTACACACATACAGATAAACAGCTACACAGACATACAGATACACACACTAACACACACACGCAAACACTACATACACACACATGCACGTCAAAATTTTAGCCACCCTTCAGTTTCCTACCTTTTAAGTGCAGGAGGGCTGTTGGGATTTAGGGCATTGCTCCTCTCCTGCCCTGGTATCTAAAATTTCTCCTTAGGCATTATTTAAAAAAAAAATTACCATAACTATCTATAATGGTATGATCGCTAAGGCTCTCAGGAGATTGCCATGTGGTATAGGATAAAATATATGTTAACCAAGACTTTTTTTTCATCAACTTTATACTTTGAAATTTGTATAATAATAATAAAAAAGAAAAAGTGTCACATTCAAAATATGAGGTGTTTTTATAACACCACAAGAGAAATTAAGAGAAAACATCTTTGTTTTGCACTCTACTCCATAAATTTAGAACATAATTATGTCCTATATCAGCAAGCCTGCATACAGAAAATATACAACCAAGATGCAATTTGTAGAATCAAATAAGAACAAAAACATATCAAATGGTTCCATATGGTCCCAGTAAGGAATTCTAGAGGACAGGTGGACAAGGGAGAAGTCTTTGAAATGGAGTGAGAAAGTAAAGAGACAACTACGAAGACACAAGTCTTGAGCAGATGGAAGTTTACATGTGGGAAAGTAATTAGAGACAAGTTTAGTTAGAAATTAGAAGGAGAAGTTTAGGACTATGAAGTTTAGTCTGGAAATGTTAGCGAGCCAGTGAGAGATTAATAGAGTGGGAAGCAGATGATGAGTGACTGAGATGTAAATGAGTCTAGCAGAGATTATTGAAGATAGATTGGAGAGGAAATAGACAGTAGAGCGGGATAGTGCAATATTAATATTACTAGAGAGTGGATTCAAATTTGTTTTGTTTCTCGTGTTAAGGATAGGCATATGCTGGTGTGAAAGGGACACTCCACTGGCCAAATAAAATAAAATATCCTGTTTAGTAGATACACCATCCCCCCTCCTCCCCTGGGTTTGCTTCTATTCCCAGCTTTATTTGTGCTGTAAAAGCCCCTTGGTGCCTGATGGGTCCCCGATTAAAGATAGTCATTGGGCTGCCCTAAGTAAAAAGGCCACACAATAGGCCACCCTGAGCTTGTGGACTCCAGTGTAGATGCACCGGGTTACTCCGGTGGTAGTTCCGCCACTGCATGCATGTTTTTACTGGGGTACATCAAATTAACAGTGATTTTGATAATTTATGTATTTGTCCCGTGAGGTATCCCTTTAACCTTCTAAGAGGTTTCTGATAGACAGTAAGTAATGTAAAATGTCAGAGAGTTCATACCTCCCCTATTGTCACATTCCCCCAGTCTATTCAGCCATTGTTAATTCCACCATCTATCCCTTAATGTCGATTTAGCCCTCACTATCATTTACCTGTAAATGATTATTCTTTTGACATGCTCTCCCAATTCATCGGCTTATTGCCATAATTTTATAATTAACGTCCTCATTACTAACATAACATTTATTTTCCATCTTAATCTCACAGCCAAACTGTTAACACTTTAGGATCTGTAACATTTTCAAATCATTAAATTGATTATAGTGTCTTGTGGCTCTACTACATTTGGTGTTAAAGCATTTTTTTTGTCATTCTTTATTTTCTTGTGCATATAAGTAACATGTATGGTGGTGTATTTAGGTTTTGTGCTGCCCTAGACAGGACGGTGCTCCACCCCCCCTCCCCCCCCCAAGTTAAATTTTCCCCACCCCTTCCTGTCAAGGCCGCACTTTGACTGACAGACGCACTTTGACTGACAGATGCAAACACTCATTGACAGACACACATCATATACACTGACAAACAATGACATACACTCACTGATTTGACACACTGATAGACAGACATACACTTACTCAGACACACAGTCTCACTGACAGACACACAGTCTCACTGACAGACACACAGTCTCACTGACAGACACACAGTCTCACTGACAGACACATAGTCTCACTGACAGACACATAGTCTCACTGACAGATGCATGCACTGACTGACCGACACATACACACTGACTGACAGACGCACGTACTGACTGACCGACACACGCACTGACTGACCGACACATACACACTGACTGACGCACGCACTGACTGACAGACGCACGCACTGACTGACCGACACATACACACTGACTGACGGACACATACACTCACTCAAATTCACTGGCACACACATTTACTGAAACACACAAACTCACTGACAGACACACACACACACACTCACTCACATTCACTGACACACACTCACTGACAGACACACACACTCACTCATATTCACTGACACACACACACTCACTGACAGACACACACACTCACATTCACTTACACACACTCACAATTATTATTATTTTTTTTAAATTTAAATCCACCCAGCCTCCCTACTTTTGGGATAGCTGGGTGGATTTCTCACCTGGGGTGCAGTGGAGCTGCTGGTCAGGAAGGTGGCCGGACGTACAGGCGGGCGGCCGGCCGGCCGGCGAGGGAGCACTTCCCCCTGAGCTCTCTGCTCAGCTGCCTTGCGCGCCGCAGTGTGATGTCGGGAGCCGGAATATGACGTCATATTCCGGCTCCCGGCATTATTGCGGGTCGCGAGAGTGAACTGAGCAGAGAGCTCAGGGGAAAGTGCTCCCTCGCTGGCCGCCCGTCTGCCCTGGGGGAGCCCAAAGGTGGCCAGGCAGCCACCTCTTGGGCTCCCATAAAACGAGGCAAACAGGGTATTTGCCTGGGCATTTGGGGGCTGCGTTTTTTGCCGCACCCTGGAAAGTGCCGCCCAGGGCAAATGCCTTGTTTGCCTCGCGGTACACACACCCCTGCTGCTGGTGTTGAGCACCAGGGTTTGTGCAGCCACATACCAGAACCCTGATGCAGCTTAAACGGATGCCAGGAGCTGATATTAAGCAGATATGTATCCAGTACTAGAAACAAGGTAAGACTAGAACAGGCACCAAACAAGAAAACAAGACTAGAAGAACCCACAACCGGAGCAGGACAGAAAGCAGAACCCAGAACATGTACACAACACATGAGGGAAACATGAACAGGACATGGACAGGGTAGGAGAGGACAGGACTGTACATGAACTGGGAATACAAGACAAATAAAACAAGACTAGAGATACAAGGCAAAACAAGAGGAGACATAACTAAGTACTATATATGTAAAAAACATTGGAGATTTAAACATACATAAATGGCCAAGAAGTATGCAGCCCACCACTGCGCCAAAGTACTCCAATTATGGTCGGTCCTAACTGCGTAGATATGCATGACTAAATAAACAACAATAACACACACACAGTACTTACCTGCAAAGAAAGGAGCAGAGGAAATGTGACCACTACTGGCAGGAACAGACCAAAACAAAAAGGATTAATGGTAAAGAAATGGTTGTGGCAACAAAAAACAAACATTTAAATGAATCCAGGAGACTGGAAATTCCAGGAACGGAATAAAGGAATGAACCAAGAAAACCAGACATAGAATAGAAAACCAAAAACCAAGAAAAACTAAACAAGAATTGTAAAAAGAGTACTGGATACCAGAAGCCAAGGCCAGACATATCCGTAGAATGGAACAGGATGTGACACATAGGTACTTGTAATGCCACGCAGCATAGACAAGCGGTTTAACTTGGCAGATATATACGATGCGCATTTTTAGAACAGTAAGTAAAGATAATTTAAAGCAGGTAAATCAACAGTGTCTAGCAGTTAGGCTAAATCAACATGTGTCATCAAAATGCTAGGCTTTATGCAACATGGAAACACATTGAAGCGCATGTTAGAATACATTCTCAGTGCAGTCAGCATCATGGTAAAAAAAAAGCCCACTTATGTAAAGCAAGCTAGGCACACGCGTCTGAATGTATATTGTACTCTAAGCTTTTTAGCAGGCAAAGTACTTCAGACACGAGAGTGCTAGTAGAAAACAATAGCAACTTTTTAAACATGCCAAACACTATTGCAGAAAAGTAAATCACTGGGACTAAACCCTTAACTATAATGCTGCATCTTGGCAAGAAAGATAAACAATATTAATGGCAGATAAATAGGAAAAGTCTGTGGAACCTATAGGTAACTTTAATGTTAGACCATAGCAGGTAAACGTCACCCTCAACCGATGTCCATTGTTGGAGGGCTGTTGTATCCACCAGGAGAGGAGGACAGGAGTGGCATAATGGTGATGAGATCCAAGCGTAACTCTGCTGGCACACGGGGGATCAGGACTTCCCTTGGCCCCAGGCCTGCATGAGGGCCAGCATCACTAGTCCACGGACTTGGGAGCCCACTGGGATCAAGTCCTTCCCCTGGTCCGGGTAAGCAGAGGGTTGAGGTGGTAGGCGGGCGGGCGATCCTTCGCTTGCGTGGTGGATGTCTAGAGGCAGTCCCTCTTTGGGCTCTCGGCCTAGGCTGGCTGAGTTTGGAATGT